GAAGTTTTCTGTAAGGAATTGTTTATTTAGCATTATCATAAGTGATAACAAGATTTGTAAACAAACAAAAAATATGATGTGATTTTCTGTACTCAATAAAAAAAGGCTAGTGTTGGCAAATTAGTATGGTATAAAAGAAATAAAACACTTCTAAAGGTTCTGTTATAGGAAAAGCCATTGGGATGGTAACAGTAACATCGTTGTTGATTATTTTCCTATAATAGCACACTCTGTTATGACTGTGTTAACAGTTAAACTGACTCCTTAGACAAAATCTTTGTAGCCTGACAGCCAAGGCTCAGTTAGAAAGTAGACTAAATAAAAATATTTCTACATTGTTTTGGTAAAATATATTTATGTCTTCTTAAAGTAGATGTGTCAAAGTATATTATTGGCAGAAAAAAATCTTTGAGACAGTCCTCACTGCAGCACCAAAAATCTATGGGGGTGGAGCTGGACCTGATCCAACTGCTCGTATAAGCCTAAACATAATCCCTAACCCTAACCCACAAGAGTCTGTACTACATAGAACAACAAACACACTTACGTATACACGCTAAAACACACTGAGATGTCTCCATCCCTGGACTGTTGCCTTGGCTCCAGCCAGGTAGGAGGAGTTGGATCAAGTCTGACTTCACCCTCTGGACTTTAGGTTCTGCAGCACGGGGTACATTTTAAAATTCATAAACAACCTTTTCTCAGATGCTTCATATACTGCATACAGTGCATAATAGTTTACAAGTGAACTGCATAGACCAAGAACAAGAACTTAAACATTTTCTTTTAAAAACTTCCCCAAACTTCCACAATCCCAAGACAGAAAATGTGACATATACTAACATCAGACTTCAACAGCTACAGTTTATCAAATCTGTCATGACGGATCTAATGACTTGCATCTGTCACTCAGCTTGCTGTCTCCATGGAGGTGTAATGAGACCACATAAGCCATGCTTGGTTATTACACTTAAACACAGCACACAATTTCAACAAGCTCCCATTTATGGCTCTGAGCAGCAATGCAAACTCTTGAGTGTCCTACTTGTCTGCCTTAAGTGTGTTCCACCGTCTAATTGGGCAATTTGCTCTCTCACTACTTCTCCCTTGAGCTTGGCACTCACACAAGATGAAGTTTAATGTCAGGTGTCACATTTGATCATCCTCTTATGTGAAATATATAAATATATATGAAATCATACAGAATGACAATAAAACATGAAACATTTTCTAGATAGAAATAGCAGTTGGAGTTTCTGCAAATGATTTTCCTAGCCCCTATTTTTCCCGGACCACGATCACTTTAATGCAGCCTTGATTGATTTCTGGCATACTAAACATGCCCTCCTGTACTGCACCCTCCTCCTGCTATGGCTGTTATAAATCTAGAGGGCAGCACTGTGACTCATAAATTCTGTGATGATGTATAATCTTCAAGGATTTTCTAGGAACTTTGATAATGTAGCATAGATTTGTTCAGCGGGGAGTTAAATGGAGTCAATTGCCATTCCCCGTTGCTAAGTGATATCATTTTGTCAACTTTTGGCATGGTAATTAAACTAAATGAGTATAATTGTAGAGCACTCTGGCCTTTAAGAGGTGTCCTTTAAAATATTTGTATGTGTTTGATAGCTGACATACAGAGTGCTGATGCTTTTAATAGCCAGCTTAATAGCCAACCACTAGGATGAGGTTTGAAATGGACCCATAATATCGTACTTTATGCATAGTGTCAGCTTATTAGCATGCATTAGATGCTGTAGGGCTGAATTATCACACTCCTTGAGCTTGTATCTTGAGTTAGTTGTAAAAAGGAATAGGTTATTTCATCTTCCTTAGGCACTCAATCTTCAAACAGCATTTTAGTCACTAAGTTATAGTAAAAAAAAAAAAAACATTCTTTCTGACTGTTTTCCCCTTACGCCATGTGTTTAAGATCCTAAATAATATAATATGGCTGACATTTTGTTCTTTGGGCTGCTCCCAAAAGGGAGCACAGGTTTTATGCTGGATGCCCTTCCTGACACAGCCTTCTCCACTGAGAGTGCAATAGACCGTGTACCCCAAGTGGCTGGGGTTGGTGCCCAGCTTGGGGCTCCAACCCAAGATCCTGACATCAAGTGTTCCATGCTCTACCAACTGAATTAGCCAGGCACCTATGGCTGCCATGCAATTAAGTCAAGTTATTTTGTACTGCTTCATCAGCTGTTTTGTTGGAAGATTTTCTGACACACAGTTGTAGCCTAGTGTCACTAATAATTTATTTATTCTCTGCATCATCTCGTTATTTCCTATCTTGTCATGACCATCACAGACCATCTGCCTCCACTTTATCAGCGCTAATAAATTAGCACTCGTCTGCCCAAACTACATTTGCATATGTGTCCCTTACTGCATCATTTGCACTGAGTAGTGTGCCTAAATAGTAATAATACCATTGCTGTACCCACACTATCATGGAATCACCTTCTAGGTGAAGACGTAGACCATTAAGACTAAGACATTAAGATTAAGAGTTTGACTTTTAGCTCGTGTAAGCTAGCTAGCATACTCTGTTGGTTGATTGAGCTCTGTCTCTGATCTCTTAAGGCTGATTTATACTTGTTGCATCCATGTGATACAATACCAACCTAATTACAAGAGGCTGTATAGCACCATGTGACACAGTGTCTGCAACTGACTAAACAAACTAGTGTTGCGTCTCTTTTTTACTATTCTAGACTGTTACAGAGTACAGTTAGTGTTTGAATTTGAAACACTTCTTAAACCTATCGAAAGGTCTGTTTTGAGTACCGGTTTTCCAGACATTCTAGATTAGCAAATGCTTTTGAATGTATGGTAAAGGTTTTTTTTATTTAAGTGGATCATGACAACAATCACAGCAATGGCAGAAAGTCTTAAAGAGAAACAGAGCTCATCAGTCATGTTAATGTTTCTGTGCATGAAATCGCTAAACATTACAGTGCAACTTGGAGACCAGATGGACATGCCAAAATGGATGGACATGGCTCTGACATGCCAAAATGGTCGTCACTTTTCCTCCAGATATACTGTAATTAGAATACTCAAGCAAATATCTGAACAATGCCGCTCGTGTAGCAGCTGAGCACGCAAACGTATAAGTGGTGAGAGTGAAGTACATTTAGTGGTCTGTTTGTGCATCAGTGCTGCAGTGTATAGGTGCTCACTCTGCAGTATCAAGGCCCTCTCAGGGTATTTTGTTTAACCAACAGGAATTGTGTCTTTTAGCAAACTAGCTAAGTATCCGAGATAGCATTTGAAAAAATGTACAGTGGGGTCTGAGAGCACTAGTGAAAATGCTTCTATTTTGCATTCTTGTCTAATTTAATACAACAGTTTTCATTACAAATTATATTATTGATGACAACCTGAGTGAAAAGTAGAATCTTAGAAATATTTACATGAATTTCAGAGTTTCTTAGTATTTTGTACGTTCCCTTTTTGCTTTAATGACAGTGTGCACTTGAGCTGGCATGGACTCCACAAGTTTGTGCAAAACCTTAGGATCCATTTTTAGATCAAATCGTCTGAACAGATGCTTAAATAGAAGAGATTAGGCATGAGGAAAAATCTGACCTTTTGTACAAAGCAGTTAACATATATCACAAATTTGCTTACATCTAAATAGGGACTGAGAAATAGTGCAGAATCGTAAATATTCTATATTCAAGATATTGAACATTTTCTTTGTTTTAAATATTTCAAAATTCGAAAACCTTCTGGTTATTTCCAATTGAAAAAAAAAAATCAATCTTTTTCAGAGTTTCAATGTGGTCTCAGACTTTTGGACCTCACTGTATAGTCAAAAACTAGACTCAATGGTGGTACAGTCGGTAACATTGCCACCTCACAGCTACAGAGTCCCATGGTTTGATCTGAAGCTCTGTTTCGTGTCTATCTGCATGTTTTTCCATGTCTGTGTGGGTTTTTTTCAGGGTTATCTGATTTTCTCACAGCTCCCAACAACATGAGAGCACAATGCCCTATGGTGGACTGACATACCTTTCAGGGTCTATTCCTCACGCTCAGTGTTCCCGGACTATGCACTGTGACCCTGCCCAGGATAAAACGCTTAATGAAGATGAATGAAATGAATGAACGAGCTCTGACTGTGAATTTCAGGCTTGTCAGGCACCTCTAAGCAGCCACTCAGCATTGCTTTAAAGATAATGCTTCTGCAAGGACAAACTAAAGATGAAGCTGAGTGTTTGCTGTATTCAATAAAGAAACTGCACCTCTAGGGGTCACTAAAATTAACCATATGCCAAGGCCAGAATAAGTTCACACCAGCTGGTGCTAGTTGAACCTGCGGGTGATATTTTTGAGCTGCAATTTTGCAGTCCCCAAACTCCATCCCCCTGTAGGCTGTTATGGCTGTGCGAATTCACTGGAGGACAAAATCCCTCAGTCATCTTTCTCTCATCAAACACAGTAACATGTCATTTCCCAGGAGAGGCTGAGCGAGCTGAAAAATCACCATTCTGCAAGACGTTGTGTCAGCTAAGCCTCCTATCCTTCATGGATATTTGCAATTCATGTCCGTCAATGCTAACGCTGCACTACGTGAAAAAAAAAATATGCCTGCGCAAGATGCTGTGTTATTATGAAATTAATAGCATACGTCCAAGATTTAGAAGAGATGCTGGACTCATAGGACCTGCGGCAAGCCTTAGGAAATCATTCCATGGAGTGGTAGGAAGAGGCTGACAGGGCATTGAGGATATTGCATGTGTACTTTATAGATCTTACACAATAGCTGCAAAAAACGGGGTCATTTTAAGATGCTGTTTGCTTGCATTCAGTTCAATTTAGCTTCTTATTCCAATCACAATATGTCTGATCCTAGAAAATGTCTTTTTTTGTGCTGCTGCCGCTGCTGCAAAAAAAGGTAGGTCAAATTTCCTACACATGAGCTTGTAGAAAAAGCGATTCACACTAAGCTTGATCCATGCCCTAACCAAAACCCATTGATGTCCCATTGTATTATTGATATAATGCTTATTATTCAAAATTCTATGAATTATTATACAAACATATGAGAACATTTTAGCATTGTATCATTGATTTCATTTCAATAAAAGCTGTAAAAGAATTCTTTGAAAAAAGCATATTATAAAAGCAACATTGGCTCATTATCACAAACATTATACAGCAAGTGCCATTGATTTATGACATTTCAGAATGCTAGAGTGTGTAAAAATCCAAACAGCAGCATCTAATGAGTATCATTTTATCTTGCTTCTTTTAAATATCATCTCTCATGCTTTGATCCCACCTTGAACCGTTGAGTTATTCATCCTGCATAGGGCTTTACTGTTTTGAAATAATAACAGATGTTTTATTTTTTTTTTCTTGCAGAGGGGTCAAAAGTGCTAATCACTACATCTGTGCTAGCTTTGTTCAACCCCTCACCAATTAATTCAAATAAGACTCCTACTTTGCAGCAAAATCCACTGTGTTGTGTGAGGAATTCAGTTTTACTTGTATAGCACTTTTAACAATGGACAGTGTCACGAAGCAGCTTTATAGAAATATATAAATTCAGGATATAAGTTTTAAATGTATAAATTTATCCCTGATTGGATATTATAATTGGAAAGGGAAGACTTGCTTTACCAGTAGCTGCAGCCTCGTAACAGTCACTTCCACTGATAAATAAAACAATATGCGGCTCTTCAACAGGAAACGGTAAATAATTTCTCATTATGCAGTGAGATAGTAAGTGAGGAGAGAGAGAGGAGAAGGTAGGAAAGAGGAATCATACTAAGTAGAAATGGCGAGCAGAAGAGGCCGTGCAAAACTTGGCATCTTTTTGGCCCTGTTTATTTGTGCTTGACAGTAAGTGATTAATTATGGAACTCTGTGGCCAACTTGGTTTTTGCGTTCTCTGCAGAGAGAGAGAGAGAGAGAGAGAGAGAGAGAGAGAGAGAGAGAGAGAGAGAGAGATGGGGGGGCATGGGGTGAGCATTTGCTAAAGCTGGGTATAATTTTACTGAACTGAAAGTGCTGTGGCTAGAAAATGAGGGTTCTTTCAATAGCGGATCAATAAAAATGATAATGATATTGAAACCATGTTGCAAGCAATTGCATACATGTTACTCGAGCAATATCCTGTGTTTCTCCTTCTACTTTGCAGCCTATGCCTTCTGTATGTAGGCAGTGGTAGCTCAGTGGTTAGGATGTTGGGCTACTGATCGGAAGGTCATGAGTTCGATCCCCAGCGCCGCCAAGCTGCCACTGGTGGGCCCTTGAGCAAGGCCCTTAACCCTCAACTGCTCAGTTGTATAAATAAGACAAATGTAAGTCGCTCTGGATAAGGGTGTCTGCCAAATGCTATAAATGTAAACTAAGTAAAAAAATAATCAATGACAGGGTGATGGGATGTGGCCTGGAGCAAAAAGTAGAGTTACTGTTATCGCCCCAAAGTTGATCATTTTCCTATAACAGCATATTCATTTTGGCAAAGGTTACAGTTTTGTATTTATTAATGAACAGAACACTCTACTTTTTATCCAGTTATCGTTACATTTAATGTTGTGGAATGTCCACAAAAAAAGTCAGCTCCTGTTATCGTTTAAGTTAAAGCCGCCGTAAATGATCGTTCCCGCATCACACTTCTTTTTTCTCCTTTGAAGTTATAAGAATAATACAGAAACACAGCTTATCACTTTACAGAGAAACCAGAAAGTTTTCCTGTAGACTTTCCTGTAGTGGAAAACGTACTGACTGTTATAAAGCACTGACACTGGAGACTCCTTCCTCCTAACTAATTAAAAGTTAAATAAATCTCCAAATTTCACCATATCAATGATCATACATTTTTGTTGTTGTTAAATAACATTTTTTAAAAATTAATTTATTGGATTTATTAGATTTATTATATTACATGGAGTGCCTGTGAATGAACTGTTATTAAAGAAATGATAACATTAAAACAAGGGAATGTGTTATGAATTGCAGCCAGAAGGATTATCAGTGCTGCTGTTGTAGAAAAGTAATCAACACCTTGTGGCCAATCAAGAATTCAACAGCGCTGCGGTATAAAGATGTTTAAATGCAGAGGATCGGAGCAACAGAGAAAATTTTCTGTATTAAAATATTTAAGATGTTCATCCATTTGAGATATTTTAATC